AATTAATTAATTAATTAATTAATTAATTGATTGATTGATTATATTATATTACAGTTAATAAAGTTTCTCTGCATTTTGTTTTTCTTTTCTTCTATGCAATAGCATAATTAGATCATATATTCACGGTAGTTTATCGAAACGTTTCTGGACAATTAGAAAATCGTTACTCGTGTACCAACGTTTATGGGGTAATAAAATATTTTTAAGCCGGCGAAACATTCCGATTCCGCGCCTCGAAATATCGTAAAGCCCTTTTTCATCGCGTCAAGAATTAATCCACCCCGGCTTTATGGTAAATAAAACACAGAAACATTTTATCTCTTAATCTTCCTCCAACTTAATTACACCTTACGGTACTTCGTGCTACCCCGTTCGATGAACAAAGTCGCCAGGATTTTCCCTCATAACGATACTTTGCAACTATCCGAAACAACATCTGAATTTGTTTATCCAACGGTTTACAGATTAACTCGCGACTTATAAATTCATTCCTTGGGCTACCAAGGATTCTACCATCCGAGGAACACGCGATCCATTATTTGATTTAATTTCGCATAATTCAAACGTACTCCCGCGAATTTACCGGTTCGAAATTCCCCATTGCTGCAAGTATAAAACACGCTCGCACGTTTATCCGAAACTTCGTCAAGGTTTCTAATTTTATTTTGCATTTCGTGCCAAATTTGTCCACGAATTTCCCTGTAATCGGAATACGTTTTACACGCGCGAGGATCGAGTTGTGTCTTCGTTAAAATTAGACTTTCTTAAACTTTTATCGATCATCTTCGGAAGGAGGAAGTGAACAAATAAAATATTAATCGATGGCAAAGGAAATTTAATTTTTAACAACTCTGTTAGGTATAATTATAATTTCAATTATTACTATGCGGTAGGATGGAAGCAAATTTACATGGTAATGAGAGTGGTTTTAGTATGGATCGATATTTAAAATGTGTCACGTCAAAATGATTTTCGTAATTATCTTCGGTTCTTAATATTTGAGAATTGGACGGATAAAGGGTGGACCACAATTTTCGCAATCCTGAGAATTTTCTTACGCGACTTCGTGGTTTAAGAATTCTTGGATTAAAGGATGCTATTTTTTCGAGAAAAACTTTGGGAAAAGATGAAATTGTAATACCACCGAGTCAAAATCGCGTAAAAATCGCAACGAAATCGCGACGAAATCGCGTTGAAATGGCGTCAAAATCGCGTTAAAATCGCGTCAAAATCGTGACGAAATCGCGTTGAAATGGCGTCAAAATGACGTTGAAATCGTATTAAAATTGTGTCAAAATCGCGTCAAAATTGCCACGAAATGGCGTCAAAATCGCGACGAAATTGCAACGAAATAGTGACGAAATCGCGTCAAAATCGCGACGAAATCGATTCGAAATCGCGTTGAAATGGCGTCAAAATAACGTTGAAATCGCGTTAAAATCGCGCCTAAAATTGCGACGAAGGGGCGTCAAAATCGTGACGAAGTCGGGTTGAAATCGCGTCAAAATCGCGACGAAATTGCATCAAAATCGGGTCAAAGTAATTACAAATTTTGAGATTGCGAATATACGAATGGCATTGCAAATAAATAAATGGCAAGAAATTAATGGCAAAGCTGTCGATTCAATTTTCTTCCTACTTCATCAACAATAATTTAGTCCTAAACAGAAAATAAGCGATAAAATAATTTCTTTCGCATTTTCGCATGCAGTTATCGACACAATTGTCATAATAAAGAAAAGATACTTTGGAAGGTACAAAGAAAAGAGCGCGAAAATGGCATCGAGTGGCTTAGAAACTTCTTCCATGCCAAATTTCGTGTTTTGTTCGATGAACATAAAATTGTCGCGGGATAACTTTTTTTACTTTCCTCCTCGTCTTATGGGTACCCTCGAGGTGATAAGGGAGGGGTTGTAATCAAGCGATTTTTACGAGTAGCTGTTACGGGGTCGCCAATATTTGCGGTTCAGGGTGGAGTTCAGACTGCAACGCCTTAAGCGTGGAGAAGGTGGCACACGGGGAGAAAGTCGAGAGAAATGGCTATTGTGCATCCCCTCGATAAGTGAAGTGACTAATTTCCTAAAGTATATGCCGCAACTTTCTTCGATTTTCCGCACCTTGTCGGAGCGGCCAATGAATTTTCTATTAAACGTACGAGCTAAGAGACAGGGTTCCGTAGATATTTCTCTACGTCCCTGCGGTGTTCATGAAATTTCAAATTTATTCTTCATGAATTACATTTAGATGGAATAAATAAAAAGACAAACGACACTTTTACGACACCTCTCATCCTTCACAAACTAATATCAGACCTGAAACTTATAATTTATTCTTAATTGATATTACATATGTATAGAATGTATAAAATGTCACGTTTTTATATATGAATGTCGTTTTAGGTAAATATGTATGACGTCTTTCATCGTTCACAAATAATTATTCGACAATTACTCTTGACAAGATATTTTTAAAAAATTATTTTTAAAATAGGATAAAAAAATTTATTTAAAAAATTTAAATA